GGATTTGATCACACACAGTATTAACACTGGTGACGCTGCCCCGATAAAGCTTCACCCATACAGAACGTCACCTGCTACTCAGGCGGTATTACAGCGTGAGGTGGTGAAACGTCTAGAAAACAACATAATCAAACAGTCCCACAGTCCCTGGTCAGCCCCAGTTGTGCTTGTCTGGAAGAAGGATGGCACATATCATTTCTGTGTCGATTATCGACGCCTCAATGAGGTTACAATTAAAGACTCGCACCTCTTGCACGTGTTGACAACACCCTTGACAGGCTTTCTGGTGCTAAAGTGTTTACCACCATTGATTTGACTGCTGGCTACTGGCAAATTCCACTTAAGCCAGCTGACAAGGAAAAGACAGTTTTTTCCACTGGTAGCAGGCTGAATCAGTTCCGCATGATGCCAATGGGCATCTCCAACGCGCCTCCCAGTTTTCAGCGGCTAATGGAACTCCTGCTTTGAGGTCTGCACTGGCGTATTTGTTTGATCTACCTCGATGACATTATCGTTTACAGTGCTGATCTTACACAACACTTACAGCACCTGCGTGAGGTTTTCCAGCGATTTCGTGTGGCTGGTCTGAAACTTAAACCATCCAAGTGCCAGCTAGCATGCGCCTCTGTCACTTTTCTGGGTCATCACGTTTCCAGCGCTGGTGAGGAGCCAGACCCATCAAACATTGTTAAAGTTAAGACATGGCCAGTTTCAACATCATCAAGAACTCCCACTAGACCATGATCCTACTGGTAGACATGCTCATTGGGCCATAGAATTGGACCTTTACAATTGGCATGTCAATCACCCCAAGGGGGCGAAACACCTTAATGCAGACGCCATGTCCAGACACCCAGACACTAACCTTGTGGAGTCTGATAACCACGCACAGGACATTGTGTCCAACCTTTCGGCGGCAACTCAGACCACCTTACTACCTCCACAAAAGGATCCAATTTTGACACAAATTCACATGTCAACAATGACCGAAAAAGTTATTTCGGTAACAACCTTTCCAAGTCGCACAACATCGAGTCTCGTTATCATTCAGAGTGATTGGAATGTGATGAAAAAACAAAGGTTGGATCCAGACTTAGCCGTTGTTTTCTCCTGGATAGAAACAGGACATAGACTATCCTTATGGAGGCTATGCAATGCTTCCCCATACCTCAGGAAACTGTGGACACAGTTTAACCGACTTAGCATTAATGACGGTATGTTATGCAGACACGTACACAACTCTGGTGATGATGTGTTGCAGGTGTTCATCCCCACATTGCTGATTCCAGACATACTCAAACATGTCCATGGACACCCATCTGTGGGTCATTACGGTCAGGCCAAAACATTAGACAGAGCTATGCAGTCCTTCTATTGGCCATACATGTCCTCTGACATTGGCAGACACTGCTTGCAATGCACAGCTTGCCAGTCACGGCGTTCTCCTGTGCCCCGACGACAGGCACCCCTCATTCCCATCTCTCCTGCCCGTCCATTCCAGATGGTGGCAGCAGACATAACGGAGTTGCCTGTTTCAACCAAGGGTAACCGCTATGTTCTAGTAATGATGGACCTGTTCACCAAGTTTGTCAATCTCTATCCGTTAAAGGATCAAACTGCTGTTTCAGTGGCAGGTTGCATCTTCGACCATTACATTCCACAGCATGGTGTTCCTGAGGCCCTACACTCAGATCAGGGTAGACAGTTCGAGTCCGACCTCATAAAGCACCTTTGTACCTTGATGTCAATTAAGAAACTTCGCACATCCCCTTACCATGCTCAGTGCGACTGTGCCGTGGAACATTTTAACAGGACGTTAAAAGACGAAGTTTCCAAGCTTATTTTTGACTCAGGCTCGGAGTGGGATGAGTGCCTCCCACAGGTTGCATTGGCTTATAACACCACAAAACACACTAGCACAGGCCATACACCTTCCTTTTTGGCTCATGGCCGGGAAGCTCGTGTTCCTCTGGACACACTGCTGCAGGACAATAACACTACCAGCTCAGCTACTGCTGGCACACCTGCAGCATACGCTAATGCATTGCACAAGAAGCTAGCCTATGTTTATCGTTCAGCAGTTGCTTCTCGAGTAAGGCTCAAGATCTCCAACGCCTGAACTATGACTGCCATTTGAAATACACACCATACAACAAGGGTGATTTGGTTTTGGTGGATGACCCTGCCCACCGATACAACAAACTACAGTCTTATGCAAAAGTTTAGGCACCCCTTGATAAATAACAGATTTTGGTGATTTTTTATTTGAACAGATGTTAACACAGTTTCTCTTGGAAATGGAAAAAATGCACAATATTTTCAGCAAACAGTGATGCATAGTTACTTCTTATGCCATAAATTGAACAAAAATAAAAAATAAAAACATTATTATGGCATGGTGCAAAAGTTTGGGCACCCTACACAATCAGTACTTAGTAACACCTCCTCTGGCAGATATCACAGCTTGCAAACGCTTTTCATAGCCAGCTAAAAGTCTTTCAATTCTTGTACTTGGGATCTTCTCCCATTCTTCCTTGCAAAAGGCTTCTAGTTCTGTAATATTCTTTGGTCGTCTTGCATGCACAGCTCTTTTAAGATCTACCCACAAATTTTCAATGATGTTTAAATCAGGGGACTGTGATGGCCATTCCAAAACCTTCAGCCTGCGTCTCTTGAGGTATTCCATAGTGGATTTCGAGGTATGTTTAGGATCATTGTCCTGTTGTAGAAGCCATCCTCTTTTCAGCTTCAGCTTTTTTACAGATGGTGTGATGTTTGCTTCCAGAATTTGCTGGTATTTAGTGGAATCCATTCTTCCCTCCACCCGTGCAATGTTTCCTGTGCCACTGGCTGCAACACAACCCCAGAGCATGATAGATCCACCCCCATGCTTAATAGTTGGCAAGGTGTTCTTTTCATGAAATGCTGCTCCTTTTTTTCTCCAAACATGCCTTTGCTGATTGTGTCCAAAGAGTTCTATTTTAACTTCATCAGTCCACAGCACTTGTTTCCAAAACGCATCGGGCTTCTGTAGATGTCCTGTTGCATACTTCAGATGTTGGATTTTATGATGGGGACGCAGATAAGGTTTTCTTCTGCTGACTCTTCCATGAAGGCCTTGTCTGTGCAAGCATCGCTGCACAGTGGAACGGTGCACCACCACTCCTGAGTCTGCTAAATCTTCCTGCAGGTTTTTTGCAGTCAAATGGGGGTTTTGATTTGTCTTTCTGACCAGCATACGAGCAGTTCTGTCCGAGAGTTTTCTTGGTCTTCCAGATCTCATCTTGACCTCCACAGTTCCCCTGATCTGCCATCTCTTAATTACATTTCTTACTGTGGAAACTGCAAGCTGACAACGCTTTGCTATCTTCTTGTAGCCTTCTCCTGCATTGTGGGCATCAATAACTTTCATTTTCAGGGTCTTACACAGCTGCTTAGAGGAACCCATGGTTGCTGGGTGTCCACAAGTGTGTGCACAAGGTTTGAAGAGTCAAGGTATTTGTACAGCTTTGAAATTGGCATTTACCAATGACAGCTGTTGCTGTGCATCAGATCTAATGAGCTGATTAAGGTCTGAAACCTTGTGAGAGACTTTGAGACTCTGGAACTCTTAGGGTGCCCAAACTTTTGCACCATGCCATAATAATGTTTTTATTTTTTATTTTTGTTCAATTTATGGCATAAGAAGTAACTATGCATCACTGTTTGCTGAAAATATTGTGCATTTTTTCCATTTCCAAGAGAAACTGTGTTAACATCTGTTCAAATAAAAAATCACCAAAATCTGTTATTTATCAAGGGGTGCCTAAACTTTTGCATAAGACTGTATATCCTCGTTAGGTGGGCCCTTATGAGGTTTTGCGGTCAATTTGCCCCTCAGGTAGTTCCACCCCTGTCAATTTTGAGGTTCATGACTTAGCTAAGCCCCAGGCCAAAGCAAGGATCATACACTACAACCGCATGAAACCATACATTACTGACTCACAATACACTCACACCCATGCCTCAACATGATTGAGCAATTAGGCTCATTCCTTCCTACAGTGAGGACAGTGAGCTTGAGGAGAGTGACAGTGAGGAAGAGTGGACCCCAGAATCAGGTTTGAGGCAGAGTTAGGAGATCAGGGTCAATAGAGTAACATACTGCATGTAATGAACATGCGTGTGCATGTGCATATGTGTGGGCATCAGTGGGTGAAGAGAGGTATATGACCTATTCTAATCTTATGCTTCTGGGTTTCTTTTGAAAACAGATGGCCTGTCCGATGACCACCAGCTGACATGACCATCGTGACTGCCTGGCTGCTCTATGAGACTGCAGCAGCACTCGGATGAGACAAGACGAACAGATGAAGCTTCATACGTTCAAGTTATATATTGCAGAAAGCTTATGCAAAAGTGACATGAATCTGGAGCATAAGAAAGGTCGTCCCAGTTCCACAATTGCTGGGGAGTATGAAGAAAAGAGGAGAAAAGGACCCACTGCCCCCATTCTGGTCCCTGATGTGCGTCTGGACACCACAGCCCACTGGATGGTCTTCGATGAAAAGAAAGGGAGATGCAAGGTACCTGGATGCAAAGATACACCTAAAGCCAAATGCCAAAAATGTGATGTCCACCTCTGTTTCACATCCACCAGCAACTGCTTCCTGAGGTTCCATACAGAATAATACAGACTGTGCTCTGTAAAAAAGAGAAACAGTACCCCACAGGAACACACATTCAGAAACACAAACACACACTGCAGCTAATCTCTAACCCACTGACTGATAAACCATTTATGGCCGATGTTTGCTGAAATAAAACTTCTTCTAATGTATTTATTGCTTGTTTGTTCCTCATCCCACTTATTATATAATATAGAAAACCTTGGTGTTTTAGTACCCTTATAGCATCTTGTTGCCCTGAGGCAACAAGATGCTATAAGATGCTAAGATGTCCCCCCCTGCTAAATGTCCCCTGAGGGGACATTTTATGATTGATATATTATCAGGGACCCCCAAGCTCCCAAAAACTAGGGTGACATTTTTTTTAGTCCTAAAATAAAAATTCATGCCATTAATTAAGGTTCTCAAAGTTCCATACAGATATGGAAAATATAGTTCTAATTGTTGTAGAACTTTCTTCAGAATTATCGTGTATTTAAGTTTTCTTCAGTATCAGTGTAATCCAGTGATAGCTGTATGTACATTCCTGCAAACAGGAACTGCTAATAGTTCATTTACGTACATACCCCTAATGGTGCTAATTTGCCAGAATGCAAACAAATATAGGTTAACAGCTAATGGGACTCAAGTTAGTTATCTTACTGTTTCCATTCCCAGGAGCCCTCAAATTATGGTTTGGTGGCTATTAAATCAGTGAACACAGATTGCAAAGTTGCTTTATGTGTTTTTTTACACTTGTCTTTCATGTCTTCACAACAGATTGTGTTCCATTCTAGCAAATGACACTCCACGACACCCCTGGATCCCCTACTTGTTTTATGCCTCAAGCCTTTTTCTCTGGTGCATTTAGTGAAGCGTAATTTCCACATAGAGTTGTTTAAATCACACATATCCCCTGTTACTTTATGCTGTAAACCTATAGCCTTTCTGTTATGACTGATCAAGCTTGTGTGGTGACACTGTAAAGTTGGGGAAAACCCTGTAAAATCAATAAAGCCATATGTAAAAACATTGCTGGCTCCTTCCTGATGAGCCTACATATTTTTGTCCAGCACATTTTTGCTGTCGGTGAGCCTGGTGAAGACGGTTTGTCAAACACAGTCCTGTTGATAGACAGACAACTGTTCTGATTGGAGAGGCACGGAATGCCCCCCTCATGTCTTGCTTTCAGTTTGAATTCCTGTGCCCTTTCATCAGGGTGCAGGTTTCTGCTAAGTGGAGAAAGCCACTAACACCACAAGAACAGCTTTTGCTACACCAGGTAGGGCTGCTGGTAGCGATGACATGTTCAGCGGCTAGTCAATGTCAAGTTTAAAACATTGACTCTGCATGGTGAAGTCAAGTAGTCAGCTAGTTGGCTAATCTGGGGGCGTGTGCGCACACACACACACACACACAGGTATATGGTGTCAGGTGGGGAGAATGTGCTGCTGTTTAGCCTTGACCTGTTAGTGAGCTGGAATCACCCAAGTAATGGTTTGTCCTAAAGGAATTAACAGCCATAGTGGCTGACACATGGTGCCATAGCCATAACACATGGTGCCTTATGCCTAGCAAAGGGTCTCACTGTGTTTGTCTGTGTGTGGTGTTTTCATCAACCTCTATAAGGGTCAGCTCTATCTAAACCGTCCTATTTCAGAATTTTAAGACACACCAGTCTGTGCGTTGTGCGTGTGTGTGCACGCGCTGAAGGATCAGCTTGGCAGTCTCCCAGCAGGAGCACAATGGTGAAGTTATACTAACTATCATCAGGTTGACTGGCATTCTAAAGTGTAAACAACTCTGTAGGCTGATGTGGGAGAAAACTGTAGCACCCATGGGTGAAAGTGAGGTCAGCACATTCAGTCCAGTAAAAATATTACTATTTACCACATAAAATAACCACAAATGTACAGAAATAGTGTGTGCCACATCTGTTTCTTTCCTACAGCTCAGAGAAAGTTGGGCCAACAAAGTCAAACATCACCTTTGTAAAATACCTACCTTGCTGTTTTTGACTATTTTGACTTTGTATGCAGTACATTAGTACGTTCTGATGCATAACAGAGCCTTAAATTAGGTAGAATAGATCAGACTGCACCTCCACAAGCATATGCTCCCCTTGCTTTCCTTTATGTATAGGCTGGGCTACAGCATTGCCCTAACACATTATAAAATAGGCTTTAGTCATTATATTGTTCATTCATTTAATGCTGAGTTGGGCAGCAGTGCACTCGCTACATATGCAGTACTTGGGTCCATATGCTAAGTATTTGGACAGTTACACAGTTTTCACATTTTTTCCTCTGTACACCAGTACAGTGGATCTGAAATCAGTCAGGGTGTTACTGAAGTGTAGATTTTCAGCTTTAAATCATTGGGTTGAACAAACATAACACATTAACCATTTAGAGATTATAGCCATTTTTATAGAAGTCCTTCATTTTCAGAGGCTCAAAAGTAATAATATTTATGGACTCATATGTATATAAGCTTATCAAACACATCCAAAATAGGCATATAGAAACCAGGCAAAACCAGCATTGAATCTGATAAATTAAGCATGGCTCATAGACCAACATTTAATTATACTGGTAGGGTATACTAGTTTTTCTGCTACTGAGAAACAGCCCACCTGTGCAAGTTGACAGCTTAAAGGGGAAGACAGAGTGGCAATTATTATAAATGATCAATTATCAATTATTTCTCCAAAATATATGTAATGGCAAATCTGATCAAAACACAAGGTCAACTGTTCACGCTGGTGAATGTGTCTTTATCACATGAGTCTGGAGAGAGGTACAGCAGTGACCCCCCATCCAACTTTCTTTTGATCATTGCCCAGATACCGTCCAGGCTCTTCCACACTTGGTCACCGTGCATAGATACTTGGGGCCTGTCGTATTTCCAACTGGCCAAACCAGTCTGCTGCAGGCAGTGAGGAGGCAGCAGCCTTCAATAGGCACACTCAAAACATCTTAAGTTGTCTATCAAGAATCTGTCACTTCCTATAGTTTAATGCACACATATGTTAGGGACCAGTCAAGACAGCCATTTACAGTAGCATTAATGGAAACAACACACAAAACTAAAGAATGGAAAATATGACCAGATTTATGTTGCTGCTAAAAACCACTTAATCTACACAAGTCTGAAAATGGCATACCCAAATAAAATGGTTAATAATTTTGAATCATGACAATTATATTCATGTCCCTGGTCTCTTTTGACATGTAGCAATTTGTACGTTACTATCAAACAATCAGAATTAGCCTAAGTTATATTTACATTTTTTAAGAGTTTCCAAGGACATTTAGATTCTCAGCAGCAAGCAAACAAAGCAGAGAATGATTGTCTGGAAATTTAACAAATGACAAATTATCTGTTTATTCAAGTTAACATCCAGGTTAATCTCTGTAACTTTAAGATTTCCATACACAGTATATATTATGCTAAGTAAAACAATATATTAGTTTGGCCACTGAATGAAAACTGCCCACCTCTATAAATGAATTCATTGCAAAATATTTAGTTATGCTTTGTCATTAATTCATTTTACTTCCTTTATCATTTTATTGCTACACAGGAATAAATCATTTTTATATTACATCTTTCACATTAGTAGATAATATAAAATTTGTCGACCGCTACACATTAACTTGAATAATTCTAAAACTTATCAGGGTACTACCAATGTACCATTAAATTTATAATCTGAAATTTTATTACCTGCAAGGCCTTAAATTTAAAAATGTACATCATCTCTGCATTATCAAATGAAGTGAATTTGGTGCTCCCTCTCCCAAAGCAAGGCTTTGATTTTAATTATTCCTTATTGAGTAGGTGTTATGGGCAGAGCGATGGATTGAGCTTCACTGGAGTACAGTGCTCTATTCAGCTTAATGGTCAGAGCCATGCATATTAAATACAGAGACAGGGAAGGGAAGAACTGGGGAAGAGAGATGGTTGAATACATGCTTCACTCAGCTGTAATCACCCTTTTGCAGTGAGAGGATTTCAAATAAAGAAATGATGGGAGGGTAAGAAGCAGGATTAGAATATGAGATGGAAAGATGCAAAGAGTTAGGCTTGAGAGCGACATGGACAAAGGGGTGGGGAGGGTGTTATTTTCTGCAGTGACCTCCGGTGGCATATTGCTGATGACAAACTTAATGGAGCCTCATTTCCCCAGTGCTGTTCACCTCACTGCTCCTGTCTGGACCTTTTCCCTTCCCCTCTGCTACACCTTATCTCCCTCTTTCTCTGGGTACTATAGTGATTATGTATGCTTGAAGGAAACTGATCATTCTGCCCAGTCACCGTGTTAACATTAATAAAACAGGGCTATTTGGAAACTGTCTTCTCCCCTCTCTTCCTCTCCTCTGCCAGAGCATCTGCTAATACACTGTCATTACAACTAAACAGTCTAAATGGACAGGGTGAATAAACTTCAGTTAATTTAGCTGGTGATGAATGTGGATTTAAAGCAATGAGGGAGTAAGCTCAGCCAGCAGTAAAGGTTTCAAAATCTGTCTCAAAGCTTGCAAATGAACACAAGTCAGCTAAGAGGAAGCTCACACTTAAGTTTGAGGCAATACCTGACATGAACTCTGCTTCATTAAGAGAGCAGCAGTGTTTAACTGATAATGGTTTTTGAAGAATGAAATAAAGAAGATAGTCATGAGCTTTGAACATATCATGAGCTTCATTATTCAAAATAATGTTCAGAATCTTCCAATCTGACTTTGGCATACCTTTAAACAGTTACAGGGTAAAATGTTTCACAGTAGAAACTTGTCTGAAACTGCATTTTAAAATAGACAGATGGAATATGATGATTTTCTTTTAAAAATACTTGAACATTTTTGGAAATATGCTGATGCTTTGTACAGTAAATGTGAAGCTGCAGTTAGCAGCTAACTACTATAGCTTAGCCTAACAAAGACTTGAAATATGGGGAATGACTAGCCCAGCTAGAGATATCAGTCTGCCAACAAGCAGACCTCTGATATTCACAGATTCATGTCTTACATCTAGTTAATTTGATTTGTACAAAAAACACAGTGTGTGCCAAACCTTCCCTTGGCAAGAAGCAGTGGCCAGGTACTGCTCCCAGCCAGGAAATAAAATGACCCATTTGAAAAAAAAAAAAAAAAAAAAAGAAAATTTCAGAAGGGAGTGAAAAAAACCATCACATTTAAGAGCCCATGGAATCACATTCACAAAACTTGTTTTGTCCAATCAGAAGTCCCCAGTTTAACGACATTCAGATTAACATGAGACTAACATGATATGTGCAAACCAGTGGGAAGGGATTAAAGTCTCTTGACATGACATCACTTCCTTTTCTGCCACAAAAAGATGAAGGCATATTTGAGAATATTTTTACTGTTACTTTATGTCCCTTTTACTCAGAACAGTTACATAAGTGATATTTTCAGGTATTACTGGGCAGGTAAACAGACAGGCAACAAATGAAAGGAAAACCCAATGTAAAATATCTTAGTAAGGTTCTGGGCCATCACGTGCACCTTGGTATTGACTCTCCAAATCTGAACTCTATTGGGGGGGTGAACACCAGTCTTCCAAAAGATATTCCCTCATGTGGTGTTGATGGTGGTGGGGACGCTGTCTAACACATTGGTCCAACATTTCCTATAAGTGTTCAACTGCGTTGAGATCTGGTGACTGTGAAACATATGATTCACATCATTTTCATACTCATCAAACCTTTCGGTGACCCCTTATGGCCTAAGGATGAGGGCATTGTCATCCTGCAGAGACCATTCTTTTATTCATGTTTTTCCTTTAATTTTTCACCTGTCTGTGGCTTTATGGTCAGTTTTTTATAGAGATTATAACTAACTTATCATTTTGATATTAGCAGATAATTTGACAACAGGGAAAGCACAGAGGGCATAGATTTTGTTGACCTTGATTCAGTTCCATTACATCCCCCAATAAGCCATGCTACTAAGCCAGCATGTAAAATACCAGGACCCTGAAACCAGCAG